ATAAAGGAAAAGGGTTCTTCAAATGTTCCCCAATTTAATGTGGATATGTAGTTTTAAAAATTATTACTTCTAGGAAATTTATGGGTCTTTTGTCTTTAGCATCCTTTATAACAGAAATTCTTCAAAATTGCTTGAAGAATTCCATGAGTTTAACTTATGGTAAGAGCCTTCCTTAGGTTAACAAGTGTATGGTTGATAGCAAATGCTTAATCAATATATTGATATTTAAGGATGATATTGAAACTTTAAATATGTACAGGTCAGGCAATTTGGAAATTTTGATCATCACAAATTATATTTGACTGTATTAAAAGCAGTAATTTTAGATAAATATTAAGAAGATTACACAAACACTGTACTTTCACACTCTGGTTTTACAAACATGAAAAGTTTGAATTACTAAGGATTAATCATAATGACATAAAAAGACAAGACTTACAAAATAAATATTAAAATACTCAGTCCTCAAGCTTGAAAGTTTTTAAAGATTGAAAGCCTGAGAGTCTGAAAGCCTAAAAGTCTGAAAGTCTGAATCTCAAGATTCAATATAAATTGTATTTTGAAGCATTGAAAGTCAGTATATGATTTGCTTGTAAAAATCTCTAAAATAAAGGAGCACATTCAGCGACATATTATAGAAAGAGTAGGAGATTTTATAATTACCTAATTCCTTACAAATAAAAAATATCACTATGAGATCCTTATAATGAAGTTTTACTGTAGCAGGAATACATTGACCTTTAACCTGAAAAGTCAATAGAGGTGTTAAGATATTCATGAACAACAATGGAATAGCAAAAATTGTGCTGATCTTTGACCTGAAAATCAAAATATATGAAGTTTGTTTCCTTAACCTATCCATGAAGTTTGATGAATATTAACTAAACAATTGTCCAATTAAATAAGATGTCCACATCTCTTTGACCTTTTGACTAAAAACTTAATAAGGTCATTTATTTACCTTTGTCTGACTTTGATGAGTATCTTATATGTTGGATATATTAGCAAGACACAATCTAATCTGAGTGAAGAGGAAACCTGGAAAAGCTTTTATCCCTTTGTATGAACAAATTAATTGATGTCATGCAGATATCTTAACCAAAATATCAGAACAATCTGATGACTCTTAAATAAAAAGTTCTCATTATACTAGTCAGAAACCATTAGTCTACCTGTCAAACAAAAAATTTGAATGTCAACTCAACAAAGTAAGTAGGGTTCCTTTTCTTCAAAAAGTAAAATTTTGATGGATTAGGTGAGTGTTTGTTACTTTATGCCTATAAAGAAAAATATATGCCCTCCATTTTGACTGTATGGATTAAGAACTGTTTATATAATTGAATCAAACTTAATTCTTTCATGTCATTCTTAATGTCATACTGTACCCATCATTCATAATATGTACAAATCTCAATCCTAATAGATGAATCCACATTTTGTTTTTATTTCACATCACTTGGCGGCCATATTTGAGGGAAACTCAGAATTCTCTGTCCATGTTAATTTATGGTGTATACCTTCATCATTTGACATAACTCATTTGCTTTTTGTATTTTGATTGCCTAAATCAGAGCTATTCATACATAGAAAGAGGACAAAAAATGAATACAGTGAATATATTGCAATAATACCTACATGTTTGATACATAAAGAGAATTTTTTTTTCATTTCTTTTTGACCATTGGATTGACCCTGAATAGAGATACCATTTACTTTTTGGCAAGTGTAAACTATATACTGCATGACTAAACATGGTTTGTATATTGAAATATGAAATGGTTTCTTTAATGCTTAAATCATCATACTCCTACTGTCCCAGTGAGAATTATGCTCAATCAACTCTGTGAAATATTCCTAACTTCCAATGCTTCTTATTTACATTTTAAAAAAAAACTGTCTCAAATAAAATTGTTCGTTTTCTCATTTATTTTACAAGGAATTACATGCTAACAGTGAATCTAATCATTTTTTAAACTGGTTAAAGTAATGTTTACGATTGTCTTAAAATGCTTAAATGTAAGTTTATTTCATACACAAATACCTTAAATGTATAGACTAAATGTACTTGTAGATTCAATATATAGACTAACCCCTTATAAATAGTAAAAATCATTTTCTAAACCTGATTTTCTTCCTCTTTCTATATATTAAGTTTTCTCAAATTATTGATTACATAAGCAAACAAATTTAAGACAAAACCACAATATATGCTGAATACCCTGAAATGAAATGGTTATATATATAAGATGTGTAACACATCATGTACAAGTTTTATGTCTACAAGATTTTAAGCTACCCGTATTATACAAAAAGACTACTTTTTTAAAGTTATGAAAAATTCTCCACAAAAATATGTCTTTATGCAAAAGATAAATGTTAGGGTACACTTTTAAAATACATTTTACACGAATCACATAAAGAACATTACAAATCATTTCTTCGTGCTTGTTTTCCTTTTGGAACATCTGTGAACAGATATTCTGTTTTGTCTTATTGATACACAAAAAGCGTCCAAAAATCATTTGGAATTGTTGTGTTAAACCCTGATACTCAGAATTTTAAGAGTTTCTGATGTGTGCACTACTTAGAAATGTTTACAATGTAACAAAGATGAAATTCCTAATTGATTTAATCAGCAATTATAAAGTCATCAGGTTTACACATGCTTTTCTAACACATCATGTACATTTTTTTTTCTACAAGTACGTCTTTGTTCACAAAAAAAATTGAAATCAACAGAACTTAGCATTCCATATTAAGAAATATGAACCCTAGAAAATCTAAAAGTATATTTGTGCATCAATGCAATATGTTTAACAAAACAATCTCTTTCACTGTGATGAAAATTGTCTTTTTCATAGAACATGCAGATGAAGAACTTCTTTGGATGATGTCATTTTCACATGTATAAAAAGAAACTAATTCAACTAAAACTAAAAGTCAGTCATTAAAATTTTAAGGACATTAAAGGATGATATCAAGACTGAAGTCCAGGAATTGATAAAATTCTACAATTATCATCCAAAGATGTATATGTTTGGATTTATTTTTTAATTCACAAGCAAATGATATGCTGCCATTTAATCTTTCAAACTTAAAAAAAGTTCTATACTTTTGAATGAAAATTTCAAAATCTAGAGGAGTCTTCCCAATACCTATCTATTTATGACTGAAGATATGTAAATCACTAGAGTTGCTGTACTGTACCATTTGAATAAAAGTCATTTCAACATTCTTGAATTTTTCCCTAAACCTTATTTCAAAACATATATTATTCCAACCAGTCTTTATCTATGCAGTGAAAAGATTTTTACAGAATTCTTAGGTATTACATAGTAATAGTCTTTAAACATCCTTGAACATAGTGCATATGATTTTCATTTCAATTCTTTTCAAATAATATGCTATGCCACCCAATAAAGCTGATATAAAGTCTCTAGGTTATCACAAAATGTTAAAATTATAACAACCGAATTTTACCCAGGAGAAAAAATGATCCAAAAGTCTATAGAAAATCTCCGATTCATTCTTTACTAATGTTGTGAAGTTTGTAGGTTACAAATTATTTTCAAAGGTAGTTATCTCGATAACTTCATCCCTTTGCCTTGACAAATTATCCTATAAAACTAAGTGTATTACTATAACCTGTTCTGTGTAATAAGCATGAAGTATATGAGATGATAAAAAATATTCAAGATATTATTACGTCACAGATCAGGGGGCACTTACATTTTTATGGGGGGTCTTATTGAGACCTATTAAATTCAAAATAGGACACACACACATACACAAACAAAATGTATTTACAGTTCCTGGAAAGTAATAATTACACCAAAGCTAGCTTTTAAACATCTGTGAAATTTGTTAGGGGTTGTAGAAATAAGATGAAAAATAAAAGGTTTAAATGTATACTTCTCATAAATAACAACTGTCTTCAATATGAATTGGTAAAAATAAAAGTCACATTTAGATACTTTGAAGTCTGGGAATTAGTTTTTTGAAGATCTCATACTATCAGAAAATCACAATATCAATTCTAGGATTTGATTAGACCTCAGTTTGTTAAATGACTGCAATTTATCTATTGTTGTGTATGACAGAATATGTAAAATATGAAGGGGAGAGCTTTTGACCTTTTTTTCCTTCATCATAGTTTAAAATATATATTATACAGGTCTTTATCTATGTAGTGAATATAGGATTTTTACAGAAACCCTAGGTATTACATAGTAATAGACATATAAACACCCTTGAACATTGTACATTTGATTAACATTGCATTCCTTTCCTAAGAATTTGCACCTAATTTTTATAAAGTCTATAAGTTATCACACAATGTTAAAGTTATTGCATTACAACTCATATCAGTAATCCCAGTAACTAACTTTTACCCAGGAGTAAATGATCCTAAAAATCTATAGAAATATTTTATTGATTCTTCATCTGGGTACTTATGATGTGAAGTTTGTAAGTTACAAATTATTTTAAAAGAAGTCATCTCAATAATCTCATGCTTTGACCCTGACAAAATGTTCTATAATACTAAGTGTATTACTCTAACCTGTTATGTGTAGTAAGCATGAAGTCTACGGAATGATAGAAATATTCAAGATATTATTGCATTACAGATTAGGGGACACTTCATCTTTAGGGGGTCCTATTGAGTCCTATTAAATTCAAAATAGGACACACACATACACAAACAAAATGTATTTACGGATCCAGGAAAGTAATAATTACACAAAAGCTGGCTTTTAAACATCTGTGTAATTTGTTAGGGGTTGTAGAAATTAGATGAAAAATAAAGGATCCTATGTATAAAAATCATACATAACATCTGTATTCAATTTGAACTGAATGAATTAAAAGTTAAATTTAGATATTTTGAAGTCTGGGTTCAATACTTTCCTAAGAATTTGCACCTAATTTTTATAAAGTCTTTAAGTTATCACACAGTGATGAAGTTATTGCATTAAATGACTCAAATCAGTAATCTCAGTGGCTAACTTTTACTCAGGAGTAAATTATCCAAAAATATATAGAAAATCTCCTATTCATTCTTTTCTAATGATGTGAAGTTTGTATGTTACAAATTATTTTCAAAGGTAGTTATCTCAATAATCTCATGCTTTGACCTTGACAAAATGTCCTATAAAACTATGTGTATTACTATAACCTGATATGTGTAGTAAGCATATGAAGTGTATGAGATAATAAATAATATTCAAGATATTATTGCATCACAGATTATTGGGCACCTGCATCTTGATGTGGGATATTAAGGGACCTTTATCATATTTCAATTTCTAAATATAATTATAGGGCACAATACACACATATACACAAATAAAATATATTTACATTTCCAGGAAAGTAATAATTACATCAAATCTAGCATCTGAATATCTATGTAATTTCTAGGGGGTTTGGAAATAAGATGAAAAAAATAAAAGGTTTAAATGTATACTTCTCATACATAACAACTGTCTTCAATATGAGTTGGTAAAAATAAAAGTCAGCTATAGATACTTTGAAGTTGGAGAGAATAAATTCATGCTATCAGAAAATCATGTTCTCAGTACTTGATTTGACTAGATCTCAGTTTGATAAATGGCTACATCTTATCCCTAGTCAGTGTCTGACAGTAAAAGATACAATCCTGGGTCCTTTCTTTGTCATCCTGTAAACCACAGTCTATGATCGTACTTAAATTGGTTGGGAATCATATTTATCTATGTGCTTCTTAAATCCTCCATCCACCTCCTGTTTGATTTTCTTGTTTCAGTGTTCCAAGAGAGGATATTCTGTTAGTCTTTGCATACTCTGATAGTCTTTCACCATTCTGAGAGTAGACATAGATCATTTCCACAAGCCCTCACTAGAATATCCTGGAAAATAAAAAACAATGTCTTAGTTGAAAAAAAAATTGTTATGTAATATAAGTTTGATGGAATTCTAAATATAGACAAAAAAGGGTATAAATACAAGGTGTAATATCAGATTTTGACTTTTTATATTAACCATGGGTAACACCTCCAGTAAAGAAAAGAGTAAAGGAATGAGTAAAATTCAGTTTGGAGAGAGAGTTCTTTTAGAGAAAGATGTAGACAGAGGCATACCAGTTAGAATAAAAAAAGATGGCACTATTGAGATCATTTCTCAAGAAGAATATAACCAGTTATGTCCAGAAAAGGGTGATCCTAATGTTGTCAGAGATTACATAGAAAGACCCTTGATTGAAGAAGAAGCCAATGAAGAATATAACCATTTATTACCAAAAGAGGGTAAGAATTACTTGGATTACCCTGAAAGACCTTTGACTAGAGAAAAAGTCAAGTTTAAAGATGATAAGAGAAAACAGTTGTCAGAAAAAAGATTGTTAAAGACACATGATTTTTAGCCCACAAAACCATCGGAGAAGATACAAGGATTAATGGAGGAAGTCCAAACTAAACTCTTGGAAGACATTAAGGCTCATTATGAGAGTAACTTTCCAGTGTTTGTTTATTACAAAATTATGTATTATGATAAAAAAAAAAAGTTTTCACTTTCATTTGTTGTGCCTTAGACCATTTAAATTGACCTTATGGTTAAGATTGTGATATATACACTCTGATAATCATCTATGATGTCTCTATCATGTTTACCTCAAAAGATTGAATCAGGGTATTTGTGTTCAAAGAGCTGAAAAAACTATACAGACAGATCTAAGATTTTGGAAGCATACATATTAATGAATTTAAAGGAGATATAACACTTGAATTCATTACTAGGTTTTTAAAAAGAAAGAACACAAACTCATAGAAATGATATTGAAAGTACCTTTTATGAATAAAGTGTCATGCTCCAAGGTATATTTTTATAAACAGGAGAAGGTTTACAGCAGTCCCATGCACTCATAAGAAGATCTTGGGTAGTAGAAACACCAGGAAATTTTAATTCCACACAATCAGATCTTCTTACATCAGTTATAAGGTTACAGTCTTTATACATAGTCAAAAGGTTCATTAAAATTTCTTTCTGGTCATTCTGATGAGCCACATTATAGTATTCTTTCCCTGTGATATAATGTTAATATCAAATGAAAAATTGAGAATTCATAAGCAATTGGAGTCAAAAATTGCTATCTTTACCAACTATGCTATTAAGGAAGCTGGGGGTTAACAAATTAGCCATATTTAATTTATTCTATAGATATGCTATCTTCAGCTGTTAACTATTATTTGGCAAAAAAAATATATTCATTTTAGTTTCAAAATTTAATCATGCATTTTTGTATATATTTATATGGAGCTCTTCTTCTTCTAAAGGAGATCAATATAGTCAAAACATGACCATGACCACCAAGCCCTCTTTATTTAAAAAAATCATATATCATTTACTTATCAATTCAAAAATATAAACATGCATATGTAAAATAAATAAATAAAAATTACAATTGTATCTCATTGAATCTTTACCTTCAAGTTTGTGTGTTTCTATGTTGGTTGACTAACTGTGTATTTCCAAGGGAACAGCAGACAGTCTGAACTTCATAGAGAATTGATTATAGATGGTTAGGAACAAACCATATCTTCCATGTTGATGACTGTAGAAATAAAACCATTTTGTTAATATGACAGAGTACTGCATGAAACAATGCATGTTTAAATACAACATGTACAATGTCAAAAAAGATCATGAAAATATTTGTTTTTAATCTCAAAAATTGTTTTTAACATTAACTCCAGATGAGAAAGGTTCATCATGTTATCTTAAGATAATAAAAAAAGCACAATTACTGTATTAATATCACAAATAAAATGATTATCAAATTAATTATTTAGACACTAAAAGACTTTTTATTAACAGCAGATTCAATTTTGGTTTAATAACTGTCAGTACTGCATACAGAAAAATACATTTTTTTTAGCATCATCACAGTACAACATGTAGTCCTTCATTTTTTGAAAAGCTCATTACCAAGAAACAAAAGTGAAAATGAAATTATATGTATGCCATATATCACACATATTTAGAATCAAAACAAAAGTAAATGACTTAGAATTAATCTTTTGTAAATTCCTTTTTTTTCTCTTATTAGATTCCTAATTAATATCTCTTTGATCACCATTTAGTAAGTCTGAATTCCATGGGTAACATACATAATGAATTATGAAATTATATCATGATTTATACAAAAGGACTTATTAATATTCTGAAGATCCCTTAATCATGTGTTAATATATTGTAGGTTAAATAAGGGTGTGCTTATATAAATGTAAGTTAGAGACAACAGATCACATAAGTATTGCACAGTAATTAAATTAACCATATAATCATGCTTAAATGCAAAGATGACCTTCATAGGAAATGTAAACAATTAAAAAAACAAGACAAACTTACCAGAGATATCCAACTATATGCCCAATAAGCCTGTCCATTAAATAATCCAGTGAAATAACATCTCAGCTGATCCTGAAAAAATCATACGATTCAGTGATACACATTCAACCTCATTTTACAATGTAAGTAAAGCAATAATTTACAGACAAAAGGGACAGAAATGTAAAAGATACCATGTATTTTACCAAAATTTAGTGAATATTTTTCTGATTGAAATTCAATCTAGAATGACCCATCATACAAATATTAAATGTACTCTGAGTTACATGCAGGTTTTACAACTGTAAATCACATGAAATGATGATAAATACAGCATTTACATTCAAAATAGAACTTTACATATAAATTATGATTAAATGCAAAGATGATCTTCATAGGAAATGTAAACAAATAAAAAAAACAAGACAAACTTACCAGAGATATCCAACTATATGCCCAATAAGCCTATCCATAAAATAATCCAGTGAAATAACATCTCAGCTGATCCTAAAAAAATCATACAATTCAGTGATACACATTTAACCTCATTTTACAATGTAAGTAAAGCAATAATTTACAGACAAAAGGGACAGAAATGTAAAAGATACCATGTATTTTACCAAAATTTAGTGAATATTCTTCTGATTGAAATTCAATCATAGAATGACCCATCATACAAATATTAAATGTACTCTGAGTTACATACAGGTTATACATGTACAACTGTAAATCACATGAAATGAGGATAAATACAGCATTTACATTCAAAATAGAACTTTATATATAAATTATGATTAAATGCAAAGATGACCTTAATAGGAAATGTAAACAAAAATAAGACAAACTTACCTGTGGAATATGTCTGTCAGAAAGGAGATTTCAAAAATGAACACGCTCTCAACATTCACATGACAAGAATGCATCAGGATGTTTACTTCAGTGGTCATAGAGAAATTGAGCTTTAAACAAGAAAAGCTTCACAGCGGGAAAATCATCATAGAATAAGAGAGGAAAAACAAAAGATAGTCTTACATTTTATGAAAATCTAAGTTCACTTCTTAGAAACAAAAGTGAAAATGAAACTTTAATTTTACAAGTGTATGATGTAATAATGCATAGGTAGCTAGCTGACTAGACTGTGTACAAAATGGTACATAGTACTATCAAAATGTAAGTCCAAACTATTTTTGCACACGACCCTAATTTTTTGCACACGGTCCTTACAGATGATGCAACAGGTATAAAAAAGATGATGCAACAGGTAGTAGTAGCAGCGTACCAATGTAAACACAGTGTAAACACACCCCCGTACTTAGGGGGCTATATGTACTGAATTGACCAGGCTATCCACCACAGACCCCCTAATCTGCACTCTCTTGACCCACATATCCCCCACAGGGGCTGCATTCCCTTGACCCGCCTATCCCCTCCAGGGGCTGCACTCAGTTGACCCACCTATCCCCTCCAGGGGCTGCACTCAGTTGACCCGCCTATCCCCCCCAGCCCCAAAAGTGCACTCAGTTGACCTCGCCATCCAGACCGTTTATACTACTACCGTATGCTTATAAGGAAATACTAAATAAGGAATAAATGGAAATAAAGTTAATCTTATTTATTTTTTTCTTTAAAAATAAAACTGGATTCTAGTTTACTCTTGGAAAAAATACAACTTTCATGAACAAGAGGACAAATCTATCGTATGACCGAATAAAGGCTTTTCTTTTCATTCCATCGAAAATAATCCCAAATTTTTTACATACAGAGGACTTGTTTTTTATGGAGAGTGAGAGAAGAAATGTGACGAGTTTAAAGAAAAGTATTAAATAAAAAGAAAATAAACAAAATATAGACTTACGGAGGAATGATTTATTCCTGCTTCCTCATTGAATTCCCTGAAAATAGGAAAATATTAGTTAAAAGTCACTTGTTATGTAAATACGAGGATTCATCCAAAAGTAATGTCACAATTTTAAATAGCTATAAATCAACGCAAAACAACAAAATTATACTCGATGGAAGCTTTATTTAATTCAAATCAGCCCGGAAAAATTAAAAGGAGTACAGGGTTCCTCATTCTCGCTCGTAACCCCGTCATTTCCACCACGGAATTGTTTTGGTCGGGCTTGCCCATATGAAGATTTACGATAATATATTATGTTAACATTTTGAAAAACGATTGTATACATAAAAAATAAAATACGGCTTTTGAAATTCCAAAAATATCCAGTTTACATTTTATAATACATGTGCACGTCCTTTAAAAACAAACATATGACCATTTTTGTCCGGTAAGAAAAAAACATGCTCAAAAGATTGATTGATTGTATACTGTTTAACGTCCAACTCCAGAGTATTTCACTGATATGGAGACGTCACCATTGCCGGTGAAGGGCTGCAAAGTTGGGCCAACAAACTGGCCCAAGTATACTATACGTTTAAGTAGTGTAAAATAATATTCAATTTAAAATAAATAATTATAATAATGGCTTCATTATTGGACTTGGGATGGTGATCCGGAGCACGGCAAAAATTTAAATAAAAAAGTTACATATCACTATATACTAAGTAAATTGCAGTTTGTATTTTTACAAATTCTGGGGAAATTCGGATTGCTTTTACATTACGGGGTTGACAAAAGTTATAACTACAAACCTGCAAAAATTGAACGTTCAGATTTCAAGTGGCTGAGAAATCTAGGTTAGAATCTATTTAGACGGGATCGGTTTTATTCGAAAAAGGGACGTTTTCGGAATAGGCGGTGATAAAATTCTGCGTAGACATCGCAAAAACACTAATAAGGACCCTTCAATGGTGTAAACAGTCGGGAAAATATAGTATAGAAAGCCGTTTTTAAGTATTTATAGTTGAAAATAAAATTTTCAGACGGAAGGAACAGTTTACAGGATGACATGCGTGAAGAAAGACCATCATTCAGAGATTCCGGTGCTGCAAAAAGTTAATTTCTTAACGTGATTTTGCAGTATTTCCTTAAATATAGTCGTTTTTAGTGGACAGATTAAGGATGATTGCAAGTAATGAGACAGGCATCGTTAAATATTATTTTACATGTGAAATCTGAACATTTTATGCACATTTTTATGACTGGTTAAAGCGACAAAAGAAATGTATCGAGATAAACAGTGACTTTGTTGAAAAAAGTTACATCACTCGTATTCAGCTTTTGACATCAGGTAACGTCAAGGATTTTCGTTTTAGTGCTCCAGGAATGAGTGGGTGTCTTTTTAGTATCTGATAAAAATATATATCTATCTGTGCTTCGTTTTTGTTGAAAACTTGCATATAAATAAAATAAAACATGGATTTAGTGAAAATAATAGTGTAAAATATTTTATCAATGTTTGTCTGTAATTATCAATGTTGTCCACGAACTTTACTGACAACCCTCGTAAATATCAATTAAAATATTCTGGATATACTAGCTACGTATTTGATATCGGGAGGTAAGGCATGGAGGGGGAGGTCATAATTATATTGAATGGCAAACATATATTTAGGTACGGCGAATGAAGGAATTTTCCTAATATAAGACTAAACTTAGTGTACAAAAAAATCTTATGTATTACATTTTAAACAGTTGGTCTTTTCTAACATTTAAAATCACGCTAATAAATTTCATTAGCTTTAGAGATATTTAATTAACTAAATATCTGCTGTACTGTTCATAATTCTCAGACCGTAAAAAGTGGGTCAAATGCCAAGGTAAAAAGGTCAAATTTGATGGTAGACATGTACCCAAGGATAGGTCTTGTCACAAGCAATACATGTGTGAAATGTTAAAGTCATAGCTTCACCTATTCAAAAGTTATGGGCAAGTTTAACATTTTTGCAGACAAACAGATACACAGAGAGACGAGATAGTTACTCAGTATCTTGACTTGACATGATATGCTATATTGACCAAAAAGTTACTCAGTATCTTGACTTGACATGATATGCTATATTGACCAAAAATTAAGTGGATGGCATCAATATGCCACCATAGATAGCTTTGATATGTTTGAGTCGAACTAGAGTGCAGATTTAAAATCAGAAAATAAATGATGGTAATCGGACCGTAATCTCCAACTCAAAAATTGGTATAAAGATGTGATATAATTACAAACTTTGTTTGAAATCTGTATCTTGTAAGAAGTGTCTTGTCACAACTGTGGCGGTCAGCCAGGTTCGATCGCCGGTGGCCAGATAGCTCAGTTGGTAGAGCACCTGGCCGGAGTTTCAGGGGGCCCGGGTTCGAATTCCGGTCTGGTCCGCTGCATTTTCTCCTCTCCCTTTACATTTGGCGCCGTGCAGACCTGCCTACCCTTTTCATTTCAAGGGTGTAATTTCAGGAAATTTTTGATGGAATTTCAGAGGTTAAAGCGTAATCAATTATGTTTTCCTATTTTGTTGCTTTACTCTAATTATACCCCCGCAAACGAAGTTTAGGGGGGTATATTGGAATCACCATGTCCGTCTGTCTGTAGACAAGATTTTGTCCGGACCGTTTCTCAGAAACTATTGGATGGATTTGTCTGAAAATTTGTACACTTATTATTCACCATATGAAGGTGTGCATCTGGTATTTTCATCATGATTGGATGATTTTTCTGCATTTTACAGTCATTTTTTCTTTTTTATTTTGTTGTTTTGTTTGGCTCATAACTAGAACACTATTAGACTTACAATCATCAAACTTGGCCAGTTTATGCATCTTGGGTAGAAGGTGTGTCATGACCTATTTCAAGGTCACTGTGACCTTTAATTAAAGTGAAATTTAAAAAAATAACTGTCTTTTACTATTGAATTAAACAATCCCAATAAATGTAACAATGTTGCAGTATCCCTATTTAAAACATGTTAAATTAAGAAAATATTTTTTTTTTCATTATATACTTTACAGCAATCTATAACAAATGTTATTTTATAAGAGAAAATCTACCTCTCCCAAGGGTATAATTATGAAACACTGGTCAAGGAGAATTTTGATAACAGAAAATTGCATGTCAAATTAGAGAGAAATTAATTAGTTTAGTGTAAGGAGATATCTTGTAGAACGTTTCTGATCAAGAACTTGTTATCTGTCTCTTGGGAACTGGGCTAAGGAATCAGCCTTAAATAGTTTTAGTGACTAGCCTAACTTATTAAAAGCAATTTCAGTCTAATTTGATATTGTATAATAAACTAATTTGAAATTGTATAAAAAACTTAATTGATATTGTATAATATAATTAAAACTAATTATATTGTGTGTATTTGGGGGTTGGGTGGGGGGGGGGATTGGAATCAGCATGCTCATTCTCCACATTAATTTCAGATTGAAACTTTTAGTATGATATAAAATCCAGATAAATCAAGTATTTAAAAAAAAATAAATTTTGGTAGATAGTCCCTACAAATCTTAAGAATCATGCAGGAACCTTATTCAAAATGATGCATCAAGATTACACAATTTTTTTTCAGTATAAATCTTTGTAACAAATTTATACAAAATCTTTGTTTTTCAGATTTAATTTCAGAATGACACATGTAATAATGCATTTTGTTTGCACTACAAAGGAGAAGGTTAAGATCCATTCATCCCTTGATAGCAATTAGTGGGCATGCATCCAGTCAAAGATTAATTAATGAGTTCTATGTAGGGAAGCATAAGCTGTCTCAATCATTTCTGTTAGAGCATATCTCTGATTAAGGAGCTCTTATCTGTGTCCTTTGGGAATTAGACAGAAGAACTGCTGGTCAGTTTAAATAGCATTTGTTATATGATGGCCAGTCTCCTATTTCTAAAATCAATTTTGTATAGATCAAGTTTTTAAGACATATTAGTTAAATTGATTTTTTTTTTTTTGAAAATATCAAGTGACCAATTTCATGTCTTCATGCCCCACATGAAAGACATGTGCATATGTGTATGTTTGTGGAGGAGGGGCATTTGTCAAGCTACAGTAAAACACGGTTATAGCGAACTCCTGGGGACCTGTTAATTTAATTCGCTATATCCGTAATTCGTTATATCCGTAAAACAAATTCGTATAACCATATATAGCGAATTCGCAATATGCATGTTTTCCTTCAAGTGTTACATCAAATATGTTAGGGAAGCAAATATTACAAAGCATACCTTCAATTACTGAGGTTTT